TATATATATATATGTGTGTGTGTGTGCGTGTGTGTGTGTGCAAGCAATGGTCATTAGCAGTCAAATAATGTAAATCCGAAGAGTAACAACACTGGCTTCTTTTCTGTGATAACAAAAAAAAAAAACCCGGCATGCAACGACTCAAGATGTCTGTAATGAATAATTGTCTTCTTCTGTGACGTTTTATTCTCATTTAACCCTATCCTGGGGTCATTTCGTAGCCCCGGGGTTGAATTCTTCACATTTTAGAATACTTCTAGATCTAGTACGAAGATCTCTTTGAAACTTTTAATATTTCTCAAAAAATATTTTTGACAGACTGCTATGCAAAGTGTACGGATCGGATTAAAGAGTACATTTCCTCTTTGAAAGTGGTGGCACAGAGTTCCCTATGTCGTATGGATACGATAGTAAAACACGACGTACGGATAGGATTAAGTGGTGGCACAGAGTTCCCCACGTCGTATGGATACGATAGTAAAACACAACGTACGGATAGGGTTGGTCTCATGTAATTGCTTCCTTCATCACTTGTTTTATTTTCGTTCCAGCTGCCTTTAAATATAAAAAAAAATTCTGTCCCTTTTTTCGAGCTCATTATTTTGTTCAAAGGAAATGATAATGGCATAAAAAAAACCCAATAGCCCCCTCTTACTGAATGAAATAAGTGGTTAGATAATTGATGAAAGGATAATTACTTAAATTTGAAACGGGAAAAAAACAAGGCTATCGTACAAAATTAATTAATATTTCCATCAAATAATAGATATTCAGTGTCATCCTTCATGTAAACCAAAAAAAAAAAAAACAAAAAAACAAAAAAACAAACAACAACAACAACGAAAAACCACACAACAACAAAAATCCCGAAAATTAGTCACGGTCGTTTCACAAGGCTCCATAACAAATCAAACAATTAATTTATTCTGACCAAACCACAAGTTGGGCTTAACGAACAAATAAATGTAAGAGTTTTCCCTGTGTCCGAGACGTAACGTTGTCTGTGCTAGATCTAGATATTGTCTAGATCTACAAGGACCAAAGAAACGAAATCTTGTCCCTAACAACAGAACAGACAGAAAGTTCCAGTTCGACGACTTTTTCTTATTCAAAAAAAAAAAAAAAAAAAAAAAGAAGAAGAAAAAAAGAAAAAGAAAACGAATAATAATAATATAGTGTACACATATTTTTCAAGATGCCCACCTCTCTCAAGTTTTGTCACTACATACTAGATCTAGATCTAGATATCTATAGTTACCCTGTACAAACATCCAGGTAAGGATGAATTTCCCCTGAGACTTTTTTTAAGTCCAAGGAATAATAGTTGTAGTTCTGTATGTGCCATCCGTATAGATCTAGATCTAGTAAAACCGTTTTTCTTTAGTTCCAGTTATCTTTTCTAGAACATGTGTCATCATCACTACTACCTTTCGTTTTAATAAGTGTTTTACGGCACTTGCAACACAATAAGGTCATAATATAAGTGCCGAAGATTAGAAGTGTTACAAGAGAGTAACAACACCACCACCCCCCCCCCCCAAAAAAAAAAAAAAAGGAGGGGAGATAAAGACGATAGAAGGTGTTTGATAGGAAAGAAGAAGCAAACCACTCCAGAGCACTCGCCAACCACCCACTCACTGCTACCTGTGCATCGGGAGACTGACTACACATTTTAAAAATCATACCAAACATTATAGATCTATATGTAATTTGGGGTTTTGTTGCATAGTTTCTTAGCTTGTGACCCCCCCCCCCTTTATTTTGCCCTCGCGCATTTTCTACGTTTATCAGTGTGACCTTTGTTTGATGTTATTGACACTGCATACATATCAACAACTGCTCTATGACAATCAGAATTACATGTCGTACAACCACCAACAATAACAACAACAACAACAAAAACAGCAACATCAACTACTACAACTACTACTACTACTGCTACTACTACTACTACTACTACTACTACTACTACTACTACAACTACTACTACTACTACTACTACTACTACATGCTGCTGTTGTTGTTAGTGCT